GGAGGTGATCCTGCCTCTTTATTCCGCTCTCATGAGACCTCACTTGGAGTATTGTGTGCAGTTCTGGTGTCCTCAACATAAAATGGACATGGAACTGTTGGAACAAGTCCAGAGGAGGGCCATGAGGATGATCAGGGGACTGGAGCATCTCCCATATGAAGACAGGCTGAGAAAGTTGGGGCTGTTCAGCCTGGAGAAGAGAAGGCTGCGTGGAGACTTTGGAGCAGTCTTCCAGTATCTGAAGGGGGCATATAGGGATGCTAAGGAGGGACTCCTCATTAGGGACTGTAGTGATAGGAAAAGGGGTAATGGGTTAAAACTTAAACAGGGGAAGGTTAGATTCGATATAAGGAGGAAGTTCTTTCCTGTTAGGGTGGTGAGGCACTGGAATAGGTTGCCCAGGGAGGTTGTGAATGCTCCATCCCTGGCAGTGTTCAAAGCCAGGCTGGACGAAGCCTTGGGTGATATGGTTTAGAGCGAGATGTCCCTGGCCATGGCAGGGGGGTTGGAACTTCATGATCTTAAGGTCCTTTCCAACCCTAACTATTCTATGATTCTATAATCAGGGTTTTTTTTTTTAGTGTGCCTTTTCTCTGCTCTTCCTTTGAAGAGTATCACTTTGACTCAGAAATTACTTTATCCAAAAAAATACAAAGTATTTCCACCCTACCCATGTGAATTCCCAACCACACCTGATTCTGGTCAAGAACACAACAAATATTGTTTCACATGTAACTAAAGACCCAGACATTCCTCTCGAGACCCAACAACTGCAGTGACAGAGACTCCCATTGCTAACAGCTCAATGCTGTTCCCTGCTATAGCTTGGCTACCTTCACTGATTTGCTGGAGAATCAATTTGTGAGAGCATTTTCCAGTGTGCTCCCAACAAGAAGTCACCAGCATCAGCTTAGGCAATTTAAAGTGTTGCTCTAGATTAGCCTGTTTGCAGCAAACCATGGAGTACTTGCACAAATTACTCCAGCTGCTGACCAGCAGAGGCACTGACTGTGATAAGGGACATGGAAACGGTCAGCTAAAGGCAAAAAAAAACAAAACCAACCCAGTAAGGAAGAGAAAAAAGGCAGCAATTAATTGGTGGCGTAACCAATTATACTAACACACCACTGGATCTGAAGAAGTCTGCTTGTCCTTGGCCTTCTGCAAACACTGCACCATTTCCTCCCCCTCAAACAAAGCTATAGTTGAATGCTATGTTCATAAACTCAGCATTTATACTAGTTATACAACAGTATATATGCTCAAGGAGAAATCCATGCAATTCTATATACTCTTCATGGGTAAGTATTCATTATTTTCTAACCTCACAGAAGACGAGTTAAGGATTACAGGTAGATCGGAACAGACAGTGTGTATTCTATTTAATGTGCAATCAACACATAAAAAATAATATGCATCACTCACCCCATTGCAAATTCATCTAGGTTTGTTTTTCCTAAAAGCACAGCTCCCTGATGCAGTAATTTCTGAACTACTGTAGCACTGTAAGGAGGAATATAACCTGAAAACAATCAGAACAGTTAAGAGTGATTGGTGAGATAAAGCTGATTTTTATGATCAGCTACTCTGAACTCTTCAAAGTTGTCATTATTTCTGCAGAAAAACTGTCAGTTCACACTGCTTCAAGATAACATGAGTAATTTCCAAAATTTAACAAAGTAAACCAAATGCTGGTTTGTTTGCAGTATCTTTTTTTTTCTTTTCCCCCTCCACAGTTTACAACCCAGTAATTCTGGATTATATATTTCTAGAGCATGGAGCTAAGACTTCACAAACAAGTTACCACAAGCGTAGCAAATTACTGCATTCAGCCAATTTGCAGGAACTGCCTAAAATTAGAAGAACGAGAAACGGCTTTTTAGAGAAAAGCGATAAGATATCTTGCATTATCTCTGGTTACCATGAAATAAAGGAACATATGGTTAAACGCAAACTGAAATGCTAATTTGCTATCCTGTGATCAAACATGTGCACCCATAACCACGTAGACCTTACATAAACCAGGATGAGAACTATGACACTTATAGGAGATCTCAGGTAGCAACCAATTCCTTCTTTAACTACTGACAGCCGTTTCTACACCCTTACTCTCAACAGGAACAATATACACAAAACCACTCCTAATACTCTCAGCCACTATATTACAATCAATCACAGTGAGTCTGAGACTGTGCTTTTAAGGAAAAGCATCTCAGGTAATACTACTTTTTCAAAAATGGCAAAGTCGTATTTTGTTTCATAGAATCACAGAACAGTTTGGGTTGGAAGGGATCTTAAAGATCACCTAGTTCCAGCTCCTTGCCATAGGCAGGGACACTTTCCACTAAACCAGGTTGCTCAAAGCCCCATCCAACCTGGCCTTGAACACTGACAGGGATGGGGCAGCCACAACTTCTCTGGGCAAACTGTGCCAGCACCTCACTGGTTTCCTCTGCTATTAAAACAAACAAACATGATCAGATTAAGTTCCTCTTCCACAAAACTTTTCAGTTGTACTTTGTCAAGAATATAACAGACATAAGAAATGTTTTCTACTTTTGCTTTTACCACAGAAACGTTCTAACACCTTGAAAATGTTCATAGCATGTTAATAGAAACAATGAGTTCAGGAAGCTTCAAAAAAATAAAATAGCCTTATAGACATGTTTGTATATCAGAAACATAGAGAAAAGAATTGGCAATGTCTAATCCTCCTAAGCCATATGAAAAACTACTTAAGTCAACAATTATCAACAGAAAACAAACAAACAAATAAAAGACTTCCTTTGGATTTTGCTAGAGAGAACAGTACTGACTGCTCTCCTGGAGACCTAAAGGTCACATGAAGGAGAGTGTGAACTATAGAACCATTTTGTTCTAGTACACATGCTATAATAAGCAATGTTGTATTGAAAGCATGGAATTGTGTGAATAAAGGAGATAATGTGCTTGCAACAAGAAAAAGATGCCTCTGTAATACCAGATGAGCTTGGGAGAAGAAATCAGATAAAAGTATTTCCTCAAATGAGCTCAGCTCAATTTTTTGAAAATATTTAGATTTCTGGAAGACTCCATAAACCCTCTCAAGAGAAGAGCAAGAACATTAAAATGAGACTTGAAAAGCTCTACTGTACCTTTTAGCATCTCTGATGCACATGTTGTCTCAATGCCAGCTGTACTAAAGTTGTCTTTTACTGCAACAGGAATTCCATCCAAAACACCCAGTGGCTGACCTGCATTGGTAATTATTGCAAAAAAAACGAAAACAGAGATTGAGGCAAAGCATGCTATATGTATAGCCTTCTTACCAAATACAGTTCTTATTACACACCCTTCTGGGTGTTATTTGGAAGCAAGAATGCTACCCACCACTTCGCATTTGAGAATTGTTTGTTACATTTTCAAGAATGTCCCTCCATTCTAACTCTAGCATTCAGCATTCTGCTGAAACCAGACCTGGCCCCACAGAGCAGAGCTTTGCAAATGTGATTAAGCCCACAAGACAGGTAGCTGCTGTAAGTTAGCTATCCTGAAGGAGTACTTACCTCTTCAAATATAACCATGTAATGCTTATTTCAGCCACAGGTGCTGCCTAAATCTACTCAATCCCTAGGCTGGGAGCCCTAAATGCTGCCCACCTGACACATGCAGTAGATATGATCTTAAAAACCAAAAAAAAAACAACCCCAAAAAACCCTGAAGCTGAGAAAATCTTCCCTAAGTGATTATCCACTATCCAGAAAAATTGCCTACGTCAGGACGCAAAACACAATTCTCTTAAGCCGCCAGAGAACTGTAAATTTCACCCAGAAAGGAAAAAAAGTACCCCACTAGGTGAAATTTTTCTGTCTTCTGGGATATGCAAATGAAAATGAGGATGGTCAGCCTCTAAATGCTGCAGATAACAGGACTGAATGATGTTCTGTTCACCAACTAGTAACTGTGATTGGCAAAGCTGCTTTATTTTCATTCGCTTTCTTAAGTGAAAAACTGACAGGCTGAGCCAGGCGTTTGTCTACCGCAGCCAACAGGCTGCAGAACACCACTGCATCTTCCCCTTTATGGTAACTGTTAGCTACCAATTCAAAATAAACTGCTGAGGGAAAGAAGAGGCAATCAGCAGCAGCAGTGCTGCTCAGGAAACATTGAGCCTATTTATTTAATTTGCAGTGCCTGGCTTAGTCCAGGTTTTGCCGCTGGTTTTGGACAGAACACACTACCTACACCCTTAAGCATGCACTCACAGAAGCCTCAACCACAAGCCTCATCCCCTTAACAGTCAAACAAGTAGCACATACACCTGCTTTACGAAGAAAAACGTACTTCATCTAACACAAGGATCTCATCCGAAACAACTTTGTAAAGACTAATATTATCACAAACATACCTGTTCTGTATCTTTTCTCTGATTCTTCAGCCTGCTTCAAAGCAGTTTCTTCCGCTACAGTAATATAAGCATTAAGGAATTTTGTACTTTTGATGAGGGCAAGGCACCGCTGGCAAAGCTCCGTCGGAGAGACATGTCCTTCCTTCAGAGCTGCCGACACCTGAAAGCACAATCCCCAGACTTTCAACGCAGCCAGGTAACAGAGCCCACCTCGGGGCGTTAAAGCGCGGCCAAGAAAGAGCCCACGGGAAGGGCTCTCCCCAGGCCATGCTGCGTCTAGTCCCCTACCGCCCCGCGCTTCGTAAAAGGGGCAAATGGAGCGATCCCGCTGCGGGCCCGCTCACCCCGGTCACCTTGCGAGCCCGCCACAATCACCCCGGTCCTCGGAGCGGGGCGCTCTCCCATGCCCACCCCTCGCCGCGGCAGCTCACAGGGTGGGCTGGCACCACTCACCTCGCGGAGAGAGGCACGCAGCATAGCGACCCGCTTCCCGCCGCCTCACGGCCGCCAGACCGCCACAAGCCTTCTGCGGGCTCGGCGGCTGGGCGCCGCCATCTTGCTGCAACACCGAGAGGCGCCATTGGCAGGACAGCCAAGAAGCCAGCCACCGATTGGCAGCGGGTGCCGCCGCGAAGAGAGTAGGAAGGAGGGCAGGCCGTGCCTAGCCTCCAGGGGTGAACGCGGAGGCGAGTGGGGAGTTCAGCAACCCAGCTCGATCTCTTGGGGCTCTGGCTACGCGGTCCGGCCCGGCTCCCCAGCCATGTTATCGTGGGGAGCAGCGAACGGGTGGGCTCTGCGCGGGGCGGCGCGGGCGGGCGTGCAGCGGCGGCCGCCACCCTTCCGCGGGCTCCGCTCCTCTCCGCGGACGCGGTCTGCCATGCCCTCCTGGGTCATAGACCGGTACGGCCGCAACGACGTGCTGCGCTTCACCAGGAACATGGTATTCCCCATCATACACTTCCCGAACGAGGTCATCATTAAGGTTCACGCTGCGAGCCTGAACCCCATCGACCTTAGCATGAGAAGTAAGTGCCGAGCCTGGGTGGTCTGGCCGGGCTGGCGCGATGGCAGAGATTGCGTTTGGACTGCGGCTTCTATATGGTCCCCCGGCTGCCAAAATCGGCCAGGTGTTGTGACCAGCCTGTCCCGGTGGGCCCCTGTCTCTGTAGTGCCTCAAAGCAAGTGTTTCCCTGACTCCTGTGTGAAACCGCCTGTTTATCGTGAACCCCTTTGAAGTTCCTAGGGGTGAACGGTACAAAAAGCCATTGCATTTCTGAAGACAGGAGCATGTATGTTGCAGGGGCAAGCATTTAATCTGAGTGACTGATGTTTTCTGTACACTTGCAGCTTGCAATTCAGCTAGTAGCATGGCTATGGTGAGATTTCCTGGCCTTCTCCCCTGTTACCACCGTGTGAGTGGTGGTACTCTTGACCAAGAGACTAGCCTTTCCATGGACTCCTAACAGGGTGCTGGATTTTCCTGTCTCTTCGAGGTAAATCGAGCTGAATGTCAGAATTGCCACGAAGTTGGCACAGGTGACCAAATCAGAGTCACAGAATGGTTTGGGTTGGAAAAGACATAAAAGGTCATCTGGTTTCAACCAGCTTGCCAAGGGCAGAGACACCTCCCACTAGACCAGGTTGCTGAAAGCAACGTCCAGTGTGGCCTTGGAACACTTCAAGGGATCTGAACCATATTCATTGTGATGCCCTTGCTTCCTGTGTTGATACCTGGGTAGCTGCTGTCATTTTGCCCAGGAAATCTGTATCTTTCACTGACCAACTCTTGGTATTGGATGCATTTAACCAGATTTCCCCCTCAGTTTCAAGGTTTGAAACACAAGAAGTAAGTTGTGGTAGCAGAAGACCTTATATTTCACATTGATGAGTGATCTTGCATATCAAATCAGATTCAGTAGCAAATTCAAAGAAACCTGCAGGAAGCCTGCCAACAGAGCTGTAATTTGCGTTTGGGCCACTAATAAACTAATTTTTAAAAATCTTTGTATATAGTTGTGGGTTTGGTTATGGGACATGTGCTGGAGATTCCTGTTGAATGACTTACTGGAACTGCTGGGCTACCAGTGGTATTTAGTCTGTGTTTGGGAGAAGCTACATTTTCATTCTGCTTTCAAGGTGCTTACTTTTGTGTCTGTTTCTTTAAAGTATTAAAACATATCCTAGCATAATAGGGCACCTAGACAGACTTGTCTTGGACAGACTTGTCCAAACACTTGAAAGGGCATACATGCCAGAATGCAGACTTTTTTTTAGGCTGAGCAGTTATTAGATGGATAATTCTGAGAGCAGCATTTAGCTGTTGCTTACTGAATGGAAGTTCAGGTTACTCACCTTAGGGGATGTGCCTTAATATCTTTTACAATAATGTTCGTATTGATTTTTACAGTACTTTATTTGAAAAGAAAAATGAGGTAGGTTAGATATAAGGAAGAGGTTCTTTACTGTTAGGGTGGTGAGGCACTGGAATGGGTTTCCCAAGGAAGTTGTGAATGCTTCATCCCTGGCGGTGTTCAAGGCCAGGTTGGACAGAGCCTTGGATGACATGGTTTAGTGTGAGGTGTCCGTGCCCAATGCAGGGGGGTCGGAACTAGGTGATCTTAAGGTCTTTTTCAGCCCTAACCATTATATGATTCTATGAAATGGGAAGTTTGGAGATCATTTGGATTTGTAGCTACACAGTGGTGTTGGAAAATGGAACATTTCCAGTGGACTTATTAGAATTTCTGACAGTGTTATCACATGCTAAATATTCTTACAATGGAGAGCTATTTCCTGGACAAATAAGCAGAATGAGATTTGCTTTTTATTTGTAAGTTCTATAAAAGTATAAAATGTTGCAGATTTTTTCCATGCTAAATATGTATGAGGCTCATCAGGTACTGACAGCACTTTCTAATTGGAATTGTTCAGTTAATAAATGAAAACTCAGTACAGTATGTCATGGTTGATTTCATGTGTTGCAGGTGGTTATGGTGCAACTGCATTAAATATGAAGCGGGATCCCCTGAAACTCAAAAGCGAGGACACTGAATTTCCACTGACACTTGGTCGAGATGTCTCAGGTGTTATTATGGAATGTGGACTGGCTGTATCTTATTTCAAACCTGGAGATGAGGTGATACCACTGATCTCTATTTTTTCCTAAATTGTATAGTTAAAATGTACTATGAGATGTTCACCTTTAATTTTCCTCTTGAGAAAATTCTTTGGTTTTTTGTTCTTTTAATGTTGTTGCACTCTGAATGAGGCCTATCTAGCAGTAAATTCCTAAATGCCTTCTTCCCTACTTTTTTTTTTCTCTGAAAAACATGGGTCTTTCCAAGACTTCCTTCTTCAAGTTAATTTCCCTTCTGGTTTTGTTGTTTTTTTTGTTGGGTTTTTTTTTTTGGTCTATTTCATTGGTAGCAAGAAAGGAATTTATTTGTGCACACTCGTGGTGCTTCCTCAGTTTTGACTGAAGATAGAATTATAACAGGATGCAGGAAGGGATTAATTTCTGTGATTTTTTTCATAAGTTACTTAGGATAGGAGCTCTGGCATAAACCAAGCAGCACTTTCTGAGGCCCCCCCAGAAGTACTGATATCGTTTGCTTTCACCATCAGCAGTTGCTTTCCCATCTTACCAGTTTTAGTATAGTAATTTCTGATTATACACACACACACACACATGCACACCTTGCCTACCCCACCCCCTACCCCATCCCCTCCAATATGGGCTTTCCTGGCATGGAAATAGTTTGGGGGGTTTGAAAAATTGTGTCTTATACACAGTATGATAAAATTTGTTCGCATACCTCTACAGTCTTTCATTTGGTCAGTCTTGTAATGGTTTTTTATATTTGTGTAGAGTAAGCTAAAACTGGTTTCTGATAAGCAATAGTGAGGACATTCTGCAAATTGGGAAAAAAAAAATTTCTTCAATGAAGAAAACTTACCTGTAGGTACAATCATGTGCAAAGTCCACAAAACCTGATAGCTGTTTTCTGTTTGGTTTTAGGTGTGGGCAGCAATTCCCCCCTGGAAACAGGGCACACTGTCAGAGTTTGTGGTTGCTAATGGAAATGAGGTAAACGTTCAAAAATGTGGCTAATGGCAAAAAAACAATGTTGTAAAGACTGGCATTTTTTTTCATCAGTGTCTAAGTAAGTGTTTATTTCTTAGTTCTTGGCTTGGTTTAGATCCCAGCTAGTTACAAAGATATGTGGAATACAAAATCTGCAAGTCAGTAAAGCTTATTTAAATATTTCATTGTCACGTAGGATCTGCTGTGTGACTTACATATGATTGATTTTATTCCAGGTGTCTTTTAAGCCAAAGTGTCTCAGTCATATAGAAGCTGCCTCCTTACCATATGTAGGTCTCACAGCGTGGTCTGCTGTTAACCAGGTTGGAGGACTGAACCAAAGTAATTGTGGTGGGAAAAGGTGAGTAGATAGTTCTGGTGCTAAAACTTTGTGGTTCATTTTTATACCAATTAGCTGCTTCTAAGACATATCCAACAATGAAGAAGACTGTTACACCATGACGTTCACAAAGCCCAGCTGGCTGAAGATGTTAGCTTCAATCTACACAACTGCTGAGGGAGATGTCTTTTAGAGGGAGACTCGGATGAGGACCCTAACTGAAGTGTACCTAGTCACTTGCTGCTTGTTTCCTCTATATAGTGACTACATAGAGGTAGTTCAATGCATATCTAATGTATAGAAAATTTAAGAGTGGTATCTCTAGGAATTTATAGGGACTTTGCCTTTCTGCCTGCTAGGACAGCTACCAAATGCAGTATTTTCTCAGAGTTATTTTGGCAACTCACGAAACGCCCTCTCAACCACAGAGGTGTGGTTCACTCAGTTCCTGCATGTGTGGGCCATTTGGAGAAGGCTGGTTTTCCAGCTTTTCAGAAAGAAATGAGCAGGTGACTGGGTCTTGTTTGAGCTGTAGGCCAGAACTTTAATGAGGTCAGGAATGCAGAAGAGGAAAACGTGAAAGATAAGCAGCCAAATCAAACAGAAAAATGGGCTTTGTTTATCAGTCTCTGATCAGACATTAGCAGATGGAGGACAGAAGACAAAAAATGCATTGAATGATTGGAGCAGGTACCGTTTTCTCCTGACAATTGAAATTTGTGATTTGTTTGGCCTTTGGATGTTTATGTAAAGAGAGAGCAAAATGTTCAGAATGGAAAGAAGGGCAAAAGTAAAAATACCAGACTCGGGGAAAAAAAAAGTCATTGAAATTACTTTGTTGCAACAAAAATTTAGGTCATGAGTAATCACTGGGCAGTAGGAGTCTAGATGCCTGACCTCTTATCTTGGGTCTTTACTTGTAATGCAATACATTATAAAGGACACTAGATTTACTGAAATTCTTCTCCTGCATCTTTAGAAGATAATAGATTGAGTAGTTGTATGTCACGGTAAATTTCATCATGAAAGGATCAGATGATTGTTCTGAAGATAAACAATGCTTTGAGAAAATGAAATCGCAAAATTTAAAGCAATTTCAAAGGACATCATTGAAATTAACTTCCAGCTAGTGACAAAATTCTGGTTATGTTGCATTCCATTTTATTCTTCAGTATTTAGACTTCTTTTTTTTAATCTTAACTTTCACATGTAAATAGAATTAACCTGAAGATATATTGGTAGGCTAGCCTTGTTTAAAGTATCTTTCTAATCTTCAGGTAAGTGTTTAGACAGTTAAAAGTGAAATTCAAGCTGCATTATATAGTGTCTTTATATTTAATACTTACTTTTATGTTCCCAGTATTTAATTTCTCTGTCAGCAAAAAGCATTTTAATGTACATAAAAATTATGTTTCCCATCTAGTCATCTTGAATTGTAAAAACAGCAGAGAATGACTTTTTTTCCTGAAAAATATATTGTAGGAAAATATATAAAATTAATTTAAAGGCCTGTGCAAAAGTACATTCCATGAACTTTATATTACTCTCTCAAGACAATAATTTCAAAAGACAAGAATTTACCTTAATTTCTCGAAATAATTTAACATGTTTGGCAAGAAGGACCTATATATGTCATTTTACCTTGGTCTTTTTGTTTCCTGTAGGTTTATGTAAATAGCTATGTACGTGTGTATGTATACACACAACAGTGTATCTTACTTTGAAAGAGCAGTTCTATTCCTTGATAAAAGCTACTTCACTGGTACTTTATTGCAGTGTTAAGACATCTTAGAGCAAGATTTTTCTATTGGTGTGTATTGTTTTCTTTGCCTGTTTAAGGTGCAAGGGTTGGCTAACCAGAAATACTTGCTCATAGTCCAGCATGTTGATCTGTCAGGAGTATCTGCTGCATCTGCACACACTTTCACAGATTTCATTTTTACAAGTTACCTGAAGCGTGCTCACAGTGTTTGTGCTATCTCTTGCTTCACTATGACCCTGTTGTTTCTCCGTAACTTCTATCCACGACCACTGTAATTTATGTCAATATTCTTGCACAAGCTAAAAGTGAATGTTCTTGTTATCCAAAATGTTCTGAATGACTCCGCTGTTTTGAAGTTCTCTGGATAATACCTGGAGACCTTCTGGTACGCGCCAGTGTCCTGTTTCAGTAGAAAGGTGATATGTTTGTTCAAAACCAGTGTGAAGTATCTTGCTTGCTGTATTCAGAAAAAGAACGATAAAAACAAACCTGACAATTTGGGAAATTCTTTTAAACATTTACATTAATATTAAGTAAAGGCTTTTATATAAATGCAGTGCTACTATTTTCTGCGGTTTAAGTATGCTGGGCAGAGATGCTGGATTCTGTTGCTGTAAGTTATTAAATGTACACTCCTGGTTTATATTTTTTCAGTGAAAATTTGAATGATACCCCGAGAAAATATTCTTTTCGGAGTCTGTATTATTTCATCATTTTATCTGTTGAGAAGTACAAAGCGAGTGAGGTTGCAAAACTTCTTGATAGAGTAAATGCTTCTTGGTACAGGAATAAATCTCTTAGGGATTTTATTGGCATAATCAAATAAAATTTAGGTTTATATACATATATAAAATTGAAATATTCAAAAAAATATAGTACATTGGTGTATATCTGAGTTGCTGAAAATTTCTAGTTGTTTATAATCTGGAGAAAATGTTGATCTGTACACCTACTCCCCACCTCCTGTCTTCTGCGGGGACACACACAGCTGAAACAGGTCCTGGCTCTCTGATTTGAGTTCCTGACCATACCATAATGCCAAGTGGTGCCCAAGGAGGAGATCTAAGCTCCTATGGTATGCTCATCTGGAGAGATCTGCTGACTCTCTGACCATTTGAACTACTAAAGCCTTATATAGGGCTTGGTGAATACTGGCTTGAATTATGTGGCTTTTTCAGAAGGGAGTAAAGCCTGGAGTATGAACATTTGTTTTGTTCTTTTGAGAGAATAGGTTCTCTTGGACCTCTATTCAGGTCAAATAATTTGTTAGTTAGTTCCTTGTGCACATGTTTATATATTGGTTTATTCCTGAGCTCACGAACAGGTAGTTTCTCTGGTATGTTTTCTTCTGGCTGTATTTTCCTGAGGCAATACAAACAAAACTGTGCCTGCTTTGGCACTTTCCACCATCTGTGTTCCTTTGTTACCCTCCTAACAGGTCCTGCACCTTCAAATGCTTCCCCACTTCCTTGTGTTCTGCCAAACAACGTGTCTTGCTGTCCTTGGTGCTGTATAAATGCTGAGTGGTTGAGCTGTGGCACATGGACATCCTGTGCAGATGTAGTTGGTCTCTGAAGCAGGGAGTTTCTTGAAGTCACAGTGTAAGGAGAAAGCTTTAATAATTTGAAGGTCTGGTAGAAAATAGCCCACGTAACATAGGAACAAACCACACCTGAAATCATGAAGAACCTCAAGGACTTTTACTGAACTGGAAAACAAAACAAAACAAAAACGAACAAACAAAAACAAACAAAAAAAACAAGCCAAGTAGCTCCCCAAAACTGAAAACATTCCCTGAATTCTTGAGTCAGATGTCCATTTTAAAAGGACTTCTTTCTCCAAAATTTGTAGTTCAAAAAATGCGCTTTAAGCAGGGAGTAAAATTGGAAAGGCAGTTTGATAAGTTTGGTTTGTTTTTTTTTTTTTTTTTGTAAGGATTTTATTGTGACTGTCTTTTGTGAGGATAAAGATGGGCTTAACCTAGTATCTTGAGTGTAACATCCCTGAGCCTTTTCAAGTGTAATAAAATCTAAATGTGAATGTTGCTTCAGGCGTCTGTTGTTGGAAGCATGGTTCTGAGGATAAGTACATTTTGGCAGATTTAAAAGCTTGCAGGCATTGTGGTTTCGTATTCTTTATCTGAATTTTGCAGCTTGGATCAGTGAAATAGGAGGGAATGGAATCTGATCAGTTACAAAAAAGGAAGCATTTTAAAATGGATGATGTGACCAAAGCCAAGTCTCTTAGGTTACTTCAATGAATTTTTGTAAACTGAGACTCCAGATTGTATAGTACAATTTTGCACTGTAAAAAGCAATTTCCTTCAACATCCAGCACAGTGAGATTTAAGACAGGAACATCACCAGCTTCCAAAGGTACTGAATTTTTCTGGCAAACAGAAGCCTTGAGAAACATGATGTTCCCTAATCCTATGCCAAGACTTCATCTTGGATCTTCCTTTGTCCTAGAATTAGCAAATGGGTCCAGAGTCCAAACACTGTTTCTAGCTTCGGCACTAAGTCTTCCTTACACTTTGTGAAGCTTAATTATTTAATTAAAAATTTCTGGATGAAATTTCTGAACATTAATTTCTGAACATAGTTTCTGAAATTAGGCTGCCAGCAGTAAGGTTCTCACACAACTGAGCTTGCATTCATTTTCATGAAATTTAAGGTAGTGTGCTCAGTTAATGAACTCCCACTTGCTAATAATTTGGTAATACACCCCTAATCCTCATCATGTGCCAGTTTTCACTAGAAAAATTCTACTGTCTTTTTTACTGAAGAAAAAGGCAGATAATTTAATAGAACTTAGATTTGTTTATGGCAAGGCTACTTCACTGTATTTTTGGGGTTTTAGATGAATAGTATGCTATATGGAAAACTATGTTCTCTATAATCTGAAGTTCCCAATCTCCCTACAATGTAATACTAAACTACTTTTTCTTTAGATAATGCCAATTTTTATAAAATGTTGATCAATCATTTTTATTTTCTTTTAATTCTTTCTTTTTTTTTTTTTTTTTAACTTTAGGAAATACAAGAGTGGAGTCTGTGAGAATGAAAGACTCTTAACTGATTTTGTCCCAAACTAAGAAATTATGTTCGGGAAAGTAAGGATAGGACAGGGTTTTTGGGTGATAAATGTTACTGCCTGACAGCTCCACTGCCTGGATTTAGTGGAAGGTACATCTGAGGAAGTCTCATTGGCTGTGCTGAGATAATGCTCTGGGCACATGAAACATGTAGTGAATAATGTTAAGTCACATTATTCACCATCTGAAGAGTTAACCACTAAGTAACACTGAATAACAAATACAGTCTTCTGGTTAAAATAATCTGATGTCAGAGATGTGTAAGAAGCATTAGAATACATTGTTACAATAGAGTTTATTTAAAAAACTATTTAATATATTTTAATTTTCTCTTACAGAGTATTAATATTAGGAGCTTCAGGAGGAGTTGGTACATTTGCTGTACAGGTAATATAAACCAGCATGCCCAGGGTGCATCTTCAAACTATTCAATATTAACGAACAAAATGAACAGAAGGCAACCGAGGAAAGGAATAGTGAAATTGCAAGCCAGTGCAGTCGATCTGTCTGATCGATCTGATTGGTCTGATTGATATTTCCAGAAGTGAAATATTTTCAGATTTATTTGCTTTTCATGTTACATTGTATTGGTTTAGAATAGGGAGCAGGGACTTTCAAAGAAAGGAGTTGTGAGTATCGTTGTGTGTTGGAGTAGGTCGTGAAAGATCGCATTTCACAGTTTGGGTGCAGGAAATCTCTTAATTGGTGTAACCTGAAATAGGTGGCCTGTTTTCGTTATCTTTCAGTCAGCTCTGCTCCATAATAGGAAAGAACTTGGTGTACAAGTAGAAAAATTGATTGAGAATGTATCATCTACCATGACTTTTTCAGATGCTCAAACAATATGAGAGGCACCAGGCTTTTATGTGCAGTGTATGTAAAGCACGGTGGCTTAGATGAACCTTCCCTCACTGTCTTTGTTCTGCTGCCCTTCTGTCTATCTTCATTCTGGTAGCTCTAAACTTTGGAGAGTCAATATGCGCTTTTATTGATACATGAATTGTGGAACATCCTCTTTTCATGCTCTTCTTTGATTTGGGGATTTTGTTTCTAATCGGTGTTGTATCATGCTGAAACATCTTTCTCTTGAGAATATGAAAAAAAATACTGAAATTTGGTGATGACATCACTGTGTTCCATGTTACTAGACCATAAACATATTGTTTTTCAAAAGGTTTACATGAGAACAGTGGTATGCTATGACTGATTCATGATAAATAAGGTGGTTAAATTAGATCAGTATGAAAGGCCTACCAGCCACTGACTAGTTGCAGTTTCTACCTGATTAATTCTGAGTAAACTATGTTCATTAATCCCGAGTAAATGTAAAAACGATTACTGTGAGTGGAAAATGAGGTTACAAAACTAGAAAAATCCTTTATTTTCCTACCGCCTTTGGAGTAGAAAATAATCTGATATCATCCCTGTGGTAAATCAGATGACTTACTTCTTTGTCTCATTATTAATATTTAAGTTATTTACAGTGAGGTAGATGTATTAAATAATGAATAGGTAGGAATATAAAATAATTTAAAATATTTACAAATATTTAGGGGTTGATCCGACAGTTTTTTAGATTGGTAACTTGGACAGTACTTCTTGGTATGTATTTAGCTGTCAGATTCAGATGGCAAACTGGTATTTTATTTGAAGCCTTACTTATTCTGTGACCTGATATCTCTACGTGGCATTAAAAACCACACTCCTTCCTCCACACCAACTTCTCACTCCCCAAAACCTCCTTAAATACTGATAAATTCTTACCACTCTTTGTCTGTGGGATGTGTGACAAATTATGCTGTGTTGGAACACAGTCCCCCTACTAAAGGTGATCATTTATTATATAATGATTTTTTAAAGTTGTTCTCAATGTTTCACTACATCTTAAACTTTGGACTTACTATTTTATATGCTTGTTTTCAGCTAGTGAAGGCCTGGGGTGCTCACGTGACAGCAGTTTGTTCTCATGATGCCAGCACACTGGTGAAAAAACTCGGAGCAGATGATGTGATTGATTACAAATCTGGAAATCTGGAAGAGCAGCTTAAAACGTTACCCTTGTACGTGTTCGTGTTGCTTAATACTGAGATGAAGGAGTTGGCGATTAGACCTGCCTTTTGATTGCTTGACTCCAGTCAGTCAGAGCTCCCTCTTTTTCTGTTGTTCTTCACTGGGGTTTTTTTTGTTTTGGTTGTTGAGGGTTGGTTTTTTTTTTCACAATTTCTAAAGCATTACTTTGTAAAGCAAATTCATCCCACCCCTTTTTGAATGCAGTTTGCCAAGTGAGTATCCCAAGCACAGATTTCATTGTAAGACTAAGCCAGTTAATTGGGCTTGTGGAGGCAAGCTCACTTTCACATGCCTCTGTTCAATGACTGTGAACAGTTTTGTCAGGATCTTGGAGCATTTATAAAGAATAAGTGAAATGAATAAATGAAAGTAAGTCTCAGAAATCCTGTGTGAGGTTAGTAAATTGCAACCTTCCCTCTCCTAGAGGGAAGAACTATGTCATTAAGCAGTTAAGTGACTTGCCTGAGGGTCTTTAACCACTGTGCAACTCAACTGGGAGTAATTTCTCTTCTGTAACATTGGGTACAGCTGCCTCTGATAAACAATCACACTTATCTTGTCACAGCAGTTATGTTTAAAGTAGTTTCGGGGGTTTTCTCTAGAACTGAAGTATTTTTTGCTTTTGTAGTCTTTCCATTTGTTTAAATTTAGCGTCTTGTGACTTGTATTTAAATATGGTGTTTACACTGCTCTTTTTAGCTATATTGAGTTAACTTTCTGGGGGGGAAGTAGAAGTTGTTCAATCTATGAAAGAATCTTACTGATAACTGCTAAGAAATCATGTGCCCTATAGCTGATTGTCAGCAGGATTGAGGTCCACTGTAAGGGCACTGTCTCTCTCTGTATGGGCAGGACCTACAGCTACACAGTTTGCAAGCAGTGCTAAATTTGCCTTTGTGCAGTTTAATATCTTAAATACTGAACACCCATTCTAGCAAATGACCCTTTTAGGAGGTATCAACAGCAGTTTTATGGTATGGTTAAGCTTATCAGTCAGGTATACTGAGAGGGATGTTCCTACTTCCCTTTTCAGTTGTACTGACTCTTCAGACCCCGTAGTCAGCTAGTTTTTCCTGGAGCATTAGTTCTCATTATTTTAATATCTCTTGACAGCTAACAATTAGGTTGGCTAAACTTTAACATGAAATTACATCCTTGGAAGACAGGCAGGTAAACTGTCTTCCCAGAGATAAGAACTTCTTAATTTACATCATTTTTTTTTCCCTTTTACTTGTAAGTTCCTTAGATGTATGTGTAAATATCTTTTGCAGTTTGGAGATTGCGGGAAATTTACGGATGAAAATGAGAATGAGCTGTGCATCTAATAGTATAGGTGTATAGCTCCCTGTTGGCCTATTCAGCCTTTACAGGCTCACATGCCTGGGAAAGTGAGAGGAAGGCTGAAACTGTGCCTTGCTGCCAGAGGCTGCATATACCCATTCCATGGGGGGAAGGTTTTAGACTCATTGGATTGTTAGGTTCTACGTCAGATAGGTAGATGGTTAGAAAAGAGCTGCCAGTAGAGGTAAAATGCCCCCAGAATTAATCAGGAGGTCAAGAAAGACTTTTGGAAGTGAAGCTGAGGACTGTGTCGCTGAAAAGATGTGAGGAGGTAAGGGTTAGTAATTCTTTTATGTATCTTTGACCACTGGAATTGACTTTCCCTTGAGAACAGCATGTACAGGAGATGTTCCTAGTCAGGGCATGAGTCCAGACTAGTTTTTACATTCACATACCATATTGTTCAATGCTAGGACCAGACCTCAGGACTGTTGTAGTAGTCTCAGTGGGAGGGAGATATTGCTCTAAGCTTTAAGCAAGTAGAGAATGTAGTTGTGCATGTAAGAGTCTGCTTTTTGGAGTCTAAGTGAGGTTTAAGTTCTCTGAATAGCTTGTGTCTGCTATGCAGTGACTGGGCAATAACCTGTAAATATGATTCGCATTGTACAGTAAATAAAGCTGGGATTTAGCTGAAGTCAGGGGACTTTCTTGCCACTGTCTTGCAAGCAGATTATTTTATTTCATTGCACTGACACATTAAAATGTAAACTATAGCAAATTTCTGATATGAATTAGCTTAATTATGATGAAGTTATTTTTCCCATATTGTGATTTTAAACCTGTTCTTTACATTTCTGCAGATTTGATTTCATCCTAGATAATGTTGGTGGGTCCACTGAGAAGTGGGCTCTAGATCTCCTGAAGAAATGGTCAGGAGCAACATACGTTACCTTAGTAACACCTTTCCTGATCAATATGGACAGACTTGGAGTGGCTGATGGCATGTTACAAACGGGATTCACTGTTGGTTCCAAAACTGTAAAGGTATCTTACATATTTAATCTTATGTAGTACTCTAGTGGCTTCCTTTGTGGCTTGGATGCTAGTCATGTGGTTCTTCTAGAAGCATCTGTCGTATTTTCCTCATATATCATTAAGTAGACTTCAGATGCATTTCTATTCTTTCCTTCTTTCTTGAACTGAAAAAAAAAAGATGTGTTGGGGTGGTAGTGATTGATGTATGTGGTAGTTTGGGGTGCTTTGAAGTTTTGATTCCTTATTGTGCTATTTCACTGTGGCCTTTTCCATATGGCCTCCCTAGTGAGTCCTGCTGACAGCTAGTGTTTCATAGTAAACAGAGCAAATCCCTGCCTCATTGTACTGTGGGTAATTTTGCTACTTGCTTTAGGCAGTTCAGGCTTTCTCTCAAAACATTTTTCCATGACTGGTTCTCTTCATCCTATTCCAGCACCAGAGAGTAATAAAAGTGGTTGAGAGTGGCTAGAAGGCCTTTCATCTCTTTCATGTTCATGTGTCTGGATGGTGATACTGATTTTTTTTGTTTTTCGTAAGTGGATCTTAAAACATTCTGCCAGTGGCCAGATCAGTGAGGCTTCTTAGAACTTTTCTCTTTCTTCTCTCAACATGCGTACTTGCTCTCCAAATGAATGCATTTCAAGCAGTTGCTATGGTATTCCTGTGATGCCATGGTTGAATGAGATTCTAAGTCCTGCACAAGTACTTTCAAAGGCAGGCTCAAAAACAAAATGAGAAGGCTGGAAAGAAATCATAGATAATGTAATATTTCTCAGTGTGTATGTTTCCGTTGTGGGGAGCATTGCATGCCATGTATTAAAAATCATCTCTCTTTGGCAGATGATGGCTGATGGCTCTTGTTCCTATAGCGACTTACTCAGAGGAGTTGCTCTTGACTTGTGCTTGTGAGATCTTCCCAAAATACTTTTCATGTGAGCTGCCATATGTCATTGGATGGTGATGACTTTGGCAGATGTGATGGTGGAAAGTTTAATTACTGACACTGAGGTGTAAGGTTCTGAATGTCACATTGCTGGGTTTCTTTCACCCCCTTTGTGAAAGTGTATAAAAATATAGCACCATTTCTCTCTTACATAACAAACAATGTTTTTACTAGCTACAGAGACATGGTGGTTGTTTTTCTCAACTAGCTGACCTGTGCAATTGAACATTCACCCTGATCCTATTGTGGTAATCCAACATCCCTGTCTGTACATTTAATCCACATGCTTAGGTGTCATTTTTTTCAGATGCTAGCATATAATTTCCATGTCTTTTCCTTAAGTTACTTCTCTAGATCTCCTGTTATCTGTTTCAGTTCCCATTTCAGTTTTCTTTCATAATTTTTTAACATACTTGTGATTCTTCTTGCAGCATCTCTTAAAAGGAGTCCATTATCGGTGGGCATTTTTTATGGCAAGTGGCCCAAATTTGGATGAAATTGCAGAACTAGTTGATTCTGGAAAGGTATGTTTGTAATGGTTATTTGAGTATTTGTGCTGCTTTGTCTGAAAAATGCTGTAGTTCATAATTACAGTCACAGTGAAGAAAACTAGTTAAGAATTTACTTGCTGCAGTTTCTAACTTCGGAATTTGCATGGAATTTAGGAGTTCATAATCCTTAAAACTCTTCTGTTTTCTCCCTCTCCACCATATCTGATTTTAAAAACACAAAGCTTACTAAGTTGTGAGGAAAAAGTGCCCAATGATTGTTTATTTTTCCCAGTCATTTAGAATGAACTCTGGTGTTGAAAATGGTATGTTTTAAGAGGCCTCATTTGGTTCACTTAATCAGAATGAATATGACTGTGCGTATCTGCGTACACAAAATTGCTTAGCCTAGGTGATTGGCAGTCTGGCTTATAATGTGCACAGAAGTAGAATATTCAGGTTATTGAAGATCTTAGACAATCTGCATTGGCAGAGTTTTGACAAGAATTTTGTGTTTCATTATTTCAGTGCTTCAGAGTATAATGTTTGTGCTAATTCAGCACAGTGACTTAGAGTATCATGAGCATTTGTAAGATTTTGGGGCATCTTTTAGTGGACTTGTGGGAAAGGTATGAAGTGGAAGATGGACTACTTTTTTTCTGATCATTTCAGGTTTATTGTTACCAAATGCATGTGAAGAGTGAGCAGTTGATTGCCTGTTTATTGGACTGTGTGGTTCTGCAGGTCCTGGCAACATCCTCATGTTGCCAAAATTCTGCGAGTAGAGAATATGGGCAACTGTTGTTAATATCTTTATGTGGTACCTAAGCAGAAGAAGGAGAAGAATCTGCCATGATTTGGTAATTCTGGTACATGAATTGTCAGACCATCTTGTGCTCAAAATCTGTGCATATTAGTAAAATCTAGGTACATCAGTGAGCATTGATCTCCTTTTCTGCTATGCATTATGTTCCAGAGTGTTGAGATGAGAATGAATTGCTGTCATACTTAAGGCCTGATTGCTTCTATTTGCCACCTCAGTGCTGGTGATCAGAATAAAAACCTTGTGAATTCAGCCACTCCTGTTTCTCTGTCATGAGCAGTGTGCTGCTGACACAACCAGTGGAAAGTCTGTGTATTGTAAAAAGTTAACTACTCACAAATAGAGGCTGCAGCAGTAAATAAGCTGTGGTGGAGTTTGTCTCTGGCTACAGCTTTGCACCACTCCGCGGTATGTCCAGTGCCTTAGGCGTTATCCCATTATCAAGAAAGATCCTAGAGGATGCTACTCACCGTGTGATTGCATACAATCACACTACTGAATTGTAATTGGTCTAAGAAATAGAAATGCCCTTGTCTTTGTTCTTACCGTTTGTCCTGATTTTTAACCAGCCACAACTTGTTTTGTGTTCCTGCCTTATTTTGTGCTCCTACCTTGTATGCAAAACAAATACAGAATATACCCATGAAAGTCTCTTGGGAAACACCTGTTTATGCAATCGAGATAGGGCTTAATCCCTGTTCTCTGCCCGATAATCTGGACAGGTGAATTGTAATGCCATTTAAAATGTACGCCATACATGTATGAATGTCCTAATGTACTTTTTGGTGTAAGATGATAGTGAGGACAAAGATGTTTGCTTGGTCTTTTATTCTCCATGCAAAACCAGGTCATAGTGCCAGACTGTTTATCTGCATAGTCATTATTCTAGCAGCCTTTTACTCTGTTTCGTAAAATGTTGCAAAAACCCGTGCTATTGTATTTTGTAAGACCCATATATGTTCCATTTAGATAGATGTTAGTAAGACTGTGACCTTTATTGTCTAGAAACAAGTGCTCTCTGAAATGGACAGATCATCCATTCAGAAGAGTAGGTGCTTGGAAGAAATGCAGGAGAGAATTACTGGAGGAATCATCCCATCATTTCTCGTAACTAAGTGAAAATAAGTGGGAATAAATGAGGAAAAAATGAGAGTTAAAAAACCCCACAAAGCAATAAAGTGTAGCAAGACGACTTGAAGCCAGTAAAGTGAGTTCATGTAGTTGAACATCCTTGTTTTGATTGAATACAGTTTTGACTAACACAGCTGTAGTTTTAAATTTCAGCGAATCGTCTTTTCTGCTACAGACATCTAAATTTTGAGATTGTGTGAAGAGGAGAGCAATTGCAGAACTCGTGAAAATGAGAGGCTTTTTTTCAGAAAAGTATAAATTGTGAAGGGGGATTTAAATGAAGGAAATTAAAATGAGATGGTGGTTTAAAGAGGTAATGTTACAGTAAGTGAAGCTTTGAAGAGAATATCCCTGAAGCTGTTACAGATCATACTGATTTGACAGTGTTCTTTCTTTTAGTCCTTTTTCACCAATACAGATTTTTAGTTCTGATGAGTTCATCATCTTCCTTTGTGAAAGCAAAGGGATTCTCAGTCTTTCAGTGGATAAATAATAAGCAGAAAGGGCATTTTGTTTAAAGATTTGGTTTTTGCAGATGAGGTTTGTAGCAAGAAATAGAGATTTGAGAAATGTCAGGTACGAGGAGAAATTCTTTTAACATCCCTTTTTAATGGTGAGGAGAAGGAGAGGATTTGATGAGCTGGTAATGCAAGGAAGGAGAGTAATTCTCCCTTTTGTAATTTACCTGCACATCAGCTCAATTCTGGAGATTGTAAAACCATTTTCAGTTTATGAGCTGTTTTCTCTGCCTTGCAGCTAGACCTCTTGCAAAGAGGCTATTGTGGGACTGAGGGGCTGGGAGGGTGCTGCAACAGTAGTGGGCACGGAGAAAAACACGTATTTCCTTGTCAGATTTTAGAGATACTGGCTACTTTTTAAGCTGCTGGGAAGTCCCTGTTGTGGAATGAACTCTGCCAGTTAATTATGAGCCAGTAAGGACTGGCTTAACATGGGCCTGACCAAATGAATTGATAAAGCACATGTCAGAAGCTGGGGATCTCTTTCCATGGCGGAATGTTCCTGGTGAATTAAAAGGTTCTCATCTAAAGACATCTGGAATCAATCAAGCCTTTAGTTCAGGACACAGATCTGCTGGCACAGCATTTGCTGAACCATCATCACTGGTCTCTGCTGCCAGCATTGTCACTAAAAGGCTTGCTAGGAATAAGTTTGATGTATTTGTGGTCAGTGTTGTGAATTTAACATTGACAGCCTTTGGTTTTGCTGCTTGCTTAACTTTTTCCTTCTCTCTGAGGACGCATGGTTTAGTACTTGGTGAAAATATACCAAATGTGTGTAACTACGTAAGTTTGTAGAAAGCCTCTGCAAAGTTTGAGTACTTACTTTGCCTTTTATAAAGCCTGATGCAGGAAAGCAGGCTCAAAAGACTCCTTAGTGTTGTAAGAGGAACAACTGAGTATGTTGTATGTTCCTGGTGGACCAAGGTAGAATGTGGTTCAATGTGGAGCCCTAGAGAAATTTGAAATTTCCATTTAAATTCAGTGTCATTTAAATGCAGTGCAGAGATGTGTGTGTGTGTGTGTGTTCAGTATTTCTGGTGGCTTAATGCTCTTCAGAGTTGTATTGAATGGGCTGATGAGTGAAAGCTGATTTTGCAGAAGGAAGACTAAAGAACAAGTAGAGTTTCTGATTATGACATGAATAGATCATACTCTGTGTTGTTTGCTTTCTAGATCAATGTTACATCACAGGCATACATAAGAAAAACTATTGCATGCTTATATTAATGTAATCTGTGTCTAGTATTGATTACACATTTTGCTGAAGACATTAGATGCTTTGGACTTTGCACCTGCTGTTGTGGTTTGGAGGACAGGATGCTGACTGCTCTCTGGCCCTGCTGCTGTCTTCCTGTGCAATGCTGTACAAATCACATAATCTTTTGCTACCATAATATTTCTGTCTACTAATGAGGGCTAGTGCCCTTTTTCCATCTTTGGTAATTTGCTCTGAGATGCCCTGTGGAATTGTTTTGTGTTGCTAGTCTTTACTGTTGAGGAAATATGTAACATGGATACAACCATCCACTTTGACATTACCTTGGGTAGTGCCTCCTTCACTTTCCCTGTCTAAGAAAGGACACTAGCATTGCAGGTCTGTAATTAAATGTCTGCATTGATTAGAGATCGGTCCTTCTCCACAGCTCTCCTCTTCAGTCACTCACATTTATTCTGACAACTGTCTTGCAAAGCTTGCATTTTTTTCTCTCTCTCTTTTTCTTTTTCTTCCTTCCTTCCTTCCTTCCTTCCTTCCTTCCTTCCTTCCTTCCTTCCTTCCTTCCTTCCTTCCTTCCTTCCTTCCTTCCCTCCCTCCCTCCCTCCCTCCCTCCCTCCCTCCCTCCCTCCCTGCCTCCCTGCCTCCCTCCCTCCCTCCCTCCCTCCCTCCCTCCCTCCCTCCCTCCCTCCCTCCCTCCCTCCCTCCCTCCCTCCCTCCCTCCCTCCCTCCCTCCCTCCCTCCCTCCCTTCCTTCCTTCCTTCCTTCCTTTTTTTCTTTCTTTCTTTTTTTCTTTCTTTGTCTTTCTTTCTTTCTTTGTCTTTCTTTCTTTCTTTCTTTCTTTCTTTTTTTCCTTTTCTTTTTTCTCTTTTCCCTTTTTCCTTTCCCTTTTCCTATTTCTTTTTCTTTTTTTATTATTTATTTTTATTTTTCTTTCTCTTTCTTTTTCTCTTTCTTTTTCTGTCTAGTTTTGTGTTTTCTTGTTGCTTCTTGTGGCTTCTGCTTGCCAGTTTGGTTGGCTGGTCCCCAGAGATGTTGATCAAGGAGAGGTTGCAAAAAGCTGTTCAGTTCTTTCTCTTCCAAAAGTCCCTTCTCTTCTCTGCATTTTGTCATGACCACCAAAAAAACCCCACTGTGATTTTCATTAAAACACATCTGTTCCTATTCCTTCAGAACATGGGAGCTTGCTCGTGTTCTTCATGAGGGTGCTGTGTGATTACATCATAAAATGTCTGTGAAGAAGACTAATGGAAATTTTGCATTCTGTGGGGAGCTAGGGTTTAGATATGTAAATTCACATAAACCACAGTGAAGTCTGGGAAAAAAATCACCATATACCAGATATTTA